GCCCACTGCACTCTAGTCTGGGCGACAGAGTGAGACTCCAACTCAAAAAAAAAAAAAAAAAATTAGCCCGGCGTGGTAGCGTGCACTTGTAGTTCCAGCTACTTGGAAGACTGAAGCGGAAGGATCGCGGAGCCCAGCAGGTAGAGGCTGCGGTGGCCAGGAGTGTGCCACTACACTCCAGTCTGGGCAACAGAGTGAGACTCCAACTCAAAAAAAAAAAAAATAAGCTGGATGTGATAGCACACACCTGTAGTTCCAGCTACTTGGAAGACTGAGGCAGAAGGATTACCAGAGCCCAGCACGTTGAGGCTGTGGGGGCCATCAGCATGCCACTGCACTCCAGCCTGGGTGACAGAGGGAGACTCCAACCCCCAAAAAACAGCCGGATGTGTGATGACACGTGCCTGTAGTCCCAGCTACTCAGGAGGCTGAGGTAGGAGGTCGCCTGAGCCCAGCAGGTGACTCAAAATTTTAAAAAATTTTAAAAAGAACATGATGTTTGGTTGACTCTCTCTTTGGGGTTAGGGAGTACCAGTGATCCTCACGTGGGTCATCTTTTCATTAGAAGTGATTTGCACTTGGAAGGGGTCTCTCGGGTGGCTGGGGTGTGTGTTTGTGTGTGACAGAGTTATTGTGAGGCCTGCCTGGGATAGTCACACAACAAAGCTCTTGGTGCTGTGCCTGGCACACAGTGACCGCACTGTTGTTATTGTTGTCATTGCTAGAACTGTGTGTGTGGGACCCCAGTCCTGAGCTCGGAGGCGTTCCCTGGCCAGAGCTCTCTCCTCCCTTCTCCTCTGCCCCTTGAGGAGTCTGCAGTGCCCTGTGGCTCTGGGAGGCATGTTCAAGAATACGGCAACCGTCTGTATGTGCCTGTCAGAGCCCCTCCGGGGGAGGAAGGCTGGAGCCTCGCTCACCCGGTGCTTGCACCAGACTGTAAGTGCTCTAACTGCCCCCCCACTCTGCCACCTGCATGGCCTGGAGCTCCTGTGATCTGGCTTGGTCCTGGCTTAGAAGCTGTGCCTGAGCCTCCTCTTTCGGGGAACCCTCTTTGGCTGCAGCCTGGATGCGGGCCCCTCTCTAGCCTGGAACGAGCGGCTGTGCATCTGAGTAGTCTGCTTGAGTGCTGCTGGGGCACTGCTGCCTCCCCCACAATTTCCGGTGCTCAACCCTGCACCCAGGATACAGTAGGTGCTCAGTAGATGCTAACTGGATGAATGCATTGTGCATAAGCACAAGAATAGGCACTGTCTCCTCATTAATTCAAGCACCATGTGATATACTGGAAGGTCCACTTCATGGAGCACCCCATGTTTCTGCGTCCCCCAATTATTTTTATCTTCCTCTTTTTTTTTTTTTTGAGTTGGAGTCTCACTCTGTTGCCCAAACTGGAGTGCAGTGGCCGCTCCCGGCCACCGCAGCCTCGACCTGCTGTGTTCCGGCGATCCTTCCGCCTCAGCCTTCCAAGTAGCCGGAACTACAGGCACGCGCTACCACGCCCGGCTAATTTTTTGATTTATTGTAGAGATGAGGTCTTGC